CCAGGTCCCGGGTGCTGCACCTTCTCGGTTTGGAGAGGTGCCCCCAGGAGACCCACCTCAGCTGCAGGGCTCTGTGCTGATTTTCTCTGTAGATGGCTTTGGAGCTGAAGGTCCCAACCAAAAGCAGAGTCTTATTACTTGTTTCTTTTGATTTCTGGTTATATTTTCTTTTTTAATTGTTAGTCCCGAGGCCAGTGAGTCTGATTTTTAATTTAATTGGCCACAGTCCCTGAACCGCAGTCAGGCTGGGATGCTCAGGCTGGCAAGCTGCTTGAGAGTGGCCAGGGCCCTTCTGGCAGTGGCGGGGACATTGAGGTTGTCACTTGGAGTAGTGTTCCTGGTGTTTGGGAGAATTCTAGTGATGTGGACACCTACTGTGCAGTGCTCAAGCCAGCCACGTAACCAGGACTGCCAGGCCCCAGGAGTCAGTGTCGGGGTTGGGAAGTTCTGACCTGTGGAATTTTTTTTAAATGTATTTAGTACAGGGTCTATAGGGTCTCACTATAATCAGGTTTGTAGTGATTCTCCTGCTTTCAGCCTCCCAAGCACTGGGGTTACAGGCGTGTGCCACCATGCCCAGTCTCAGTCACCATCTCAGCGTGCCCCAGAGGTGGGGCCTGCATGGCACGACGGGGATTGAACCCTGGACGCTGTGTCTGAGCAGACACGTTCAGTCTGCTGAGCTATCTGGCCAGCCCTCTGTGTTACTTTTGTACCTGTCTAGATCAGATTCTTTTCATCAGTCATCTCCAGGTCAGTTTACCTAGGAACTATCCCTCCTTTATTTTCTCAGACACACTAGGTGGAGGTGAGGGAGGAAAGGTGCTGTGTCTGGGAGGCGAACCCCGTGCTCCAGACGTGGAAGCTGGAGTCAGTCGCTGCTCCTGGCCCCCGCTTCCCCAGTGTCCAGCAGTTTCTAGGTGCTGAGTGCAGAGCAGGTGTGTGGCTGGGCTCTGGGCAGCGTGATGCTCAACTGGTGTCTTCCTGCGTCTTGCAGGAATAACGCTTTGTGGAGAGTGTGTAGCTTCAATCCCTGCTTGCAGAATTGTGAGGTCTTGTAGAAGAAACCTTGGAATTTGACAGAAATCCAGTGACAGCTGTCTCTGGTTATCCTTATCCTTCCTCCAGAGTTCTGTTACAAATGCGAGGTTCTCTGTTTAGATTGCCTGTGGTTTTTCACAGTAATTCATTTGACAGTTATTTATCATTTGTCTGTGCTTGGCTCTGAAGTCCAACATTGTTCTGTCTTTATTCTTTATGAAACTCTCAGTCACTCAGCATGCAGTTACGCTCAGTTACTCGGTTTAGAGGCCCTGCATCCTGCCAGGGAGACGCATGGGATGTGTGAGAGGCTGTTAGAACTAGTGGACCTGCCATAGTCTACAAGTTCAGGAAAGCCATGAGGGAACATCGAGGCTGAAAACTAACTGGGTAGAGATGGAGTGGGATAGGTAGTGGGAAATGCAGCAGATGGAGCAGATGTCGGGGAAGACGGCTGTGGAAAGGAGCCTTCCAGAAAAAGAAAAAAAGAAGAGGATGGTGTCAGAGTGTGGGGCTGTGGCTGGGGGTTAGGAGGGAGTGCCCCAAGGACAGGCTGGACACAGAATGGACCAAATCTTGCTAGACCATATACATCTTTCTTTCTTTCTTTCTTTCTTTCTTTGTTTCTTTCTTGTTTTATTTTTTGGTTTTGAGACTGGGTCTCACTGTAGCCCTGGCTGGCTTTGAACTCCCAGCAGTCCTCCTGCCTCAGCCTCTCCAGGGATTATAGGCTTGTGCCACTGTGCCCAGCCTAAATTTTGCATTTGAAAGACTTGCTAGGTCACTTACGTTTCCAGACCATTTTTAATTGCTGGAAGATCAAGCAGCCACCTATATTTAGATTTGTCTGTATATTACATGAAAAAAAAACTTTACTGAGATATAATGCATACACATAAAATTGATATGTTTAGAGCATGTAATTTAGTAGTTTTTAATATATTCACAGTTGTGCAGCTTTATTATCATTGTCTAATTTTGAACATTTTATCATCCCCAAAAGAAGCCTCATGTCCCCGTTTCACCCCTCGAGCCCCTGCCTACCCAACATTGTCTACGTTCTGTCTTTGGATTTGCATGTTAGAGACATTTCATAGCAATGAAATTGTACAATTTGTGACCTTTCGTGGCTGGCTTGTTTCCTTCGGCCTGGCGCTGTCAGAGCCCATCCTTGTTGGAGTAGAAATCAGTACTTCATTCCTTTTTGTGATTGACTGTCACTCTGTTCAGGGATCTACCACATCCCGTTACCCACAGTGATGGGCATTTGAGTTTTTTCCACTTTTTAGGAATCACACTGCTCTGGACTTGACACTTTATACAAATGATCAGGAATGACAGATTTCAACCTTCATTTCTAAAGAGAAGAGCTCTGCATATTTTTATTCTTTACCATTCTGTTCAGTAAGTGGCTTCTTTTCTGAAAGACCTGTGAAAGGTCTAACCATATCAGTAAGTAGAGAATATGCTATTAAGCGCTTGAAGCTTCTTCTTGACACTGTATGCAATATTTGCAGGTAATAGTGTCAGCATTTGCTTAGTTTTAGAAGTCAGAGTCCACTGTTACTCTAGTTGTCCATTTACGAATAGATGCCAAAGAGTTCTTAGGTCCTTGTTGCTGTTGAATGACCTGCCCACATTCATAGACTGTACCTATTATCAAGGTAATGGCTTTCATCTTAATTAGCCATTTCTGAGAATAAGAAAGAAGTGAAAGAGTGGCCTCAGTATTGCAGAGTTCAGAATGTACACGAGGAGGTGATGACTGCATTAAAAATGTCTTGTGGCCTGCCTTGGGGCATGACTACCAGTGCAGAAAGTATTGGGAATTAGTAATTAAGCAAGAAAATTTGCAGACCAAGGAAAGAAGTGTCAGCAGTGAATATAAGAAACGTCATAGAAGGGCCAGCCGATAGCTCAGCGGGTTACAGCGCAGGGACCCGGGTTTCATCCACGCGTGCTGTGCCAGCCCCACCCCCAGGCGCGCTGATACTGCGGTTGAAACTGGGCCTGGTGGCGTTTACCTGAAATCCCAGTGCTTGGGATGCTGAAAACAGGAGGATAACTAGGAGTCTAATCTGTGTAGTGAGATCCTGTAGACCCTGTACTAAAAAACACATACAACAGCAGAAATGTCATAGCTTGTCCTATAGAGTGGGAAAATGAAAATAATTTTGTGTAAAGTCATAGCAATTGTGGTAATGCTGGTTGTCTTAGTTTTTCATTGCCCGAATAAAATACCTAACACCCACAGAATAAAGGAAGAAAGGGTTATTGTAGGTCACAGTTTGTAGCGGTTTCAGTCCATAGTTGGCTGGTTCCAAGGCAGACTGCAGGCAGAGGGGTGCGGCAGAAGAGGAGTTCGTGGTGTAGCAGGTGGGGCAGCGGCCTTTCTCTTTGCCTTTGTATTTTGTCCAGGCTGCAATCCTGTGGGCTAGTACCACTATGCCCAGGACAGGTCTTTCCTCTTTGGTAAACTCATCATCCACACCCAGAACTGTGCTGCGCCGGTCAGCGGGCAGCTCCAGTATCACCCACACGCCATCTAATCACTCCCGAAGCCTTAGGAGTCTGTGGGGGCCAGCCAGATGTGAGTCGTAATGGTGGAGAGCAGATTAGCCTAGTCGGTCAACAGAGGTTGTGGGTTGTCCAGTTAGTAAAATTACGAATCTTTGAAATTTCATTTGAAAAAAAAAAAAAAAAAGAAATTTAATTTGCTTTTTCTTGGTTTATAGCTGATTCTGTTGATTAATGTTTGTGTCAGGAATGTGATGCAAGATTTCATTTAGTATTTATCAAGCTTAGGATGACTGTGAAATTGGTTCACTAATTGTGCAAGAAGTTACAGAACACCTACCTGCTGCTGCTAAGTGGTCATATTTGTCAGGAGGAAGCAAGTTACTTTGCGGCCGGTAGACTCCTTCCTTGGGAACATGGTTTCATGGCAGGTAGTGCATCGTTAGTAACTGGCCTACGATCAGGCTACCTCCGAGGCATCTCATGCTGTCTTCAGAAGCGCCTCGGTGTGAGCTTTGTGCTGTGTTGAGGATGTGCTTGCTTTGCCTCGTTTAGTCTGCACAGTACCCTAACGTGACAAACAGGCCTGCTGGTGAGAAAACCGAGGTTCAGATTAGAGGACTGTCCCAGCTCACGTGGTGGCAGAGGCAGGACCTGATTGTGGAGCTGACACTGAAGCTCCTGTGCAGCCCATTCACCCTCCTCTGTGTACACCAACTCTTTCTGAGATGGGCAATATTTATTATGCAGTGTTAAATTTTGAAGTTTGGGCTGGGGAGATAGCTCATTGCGAGGTCCTGAGTTCGATCTCTGGTACCGGTTTGTAAATTTTGTTATAAAGTGTCTTGGCTGTTTCTAGAACTCTGGTTGTTTGCATGTTATTACTTGTTAACTTCCTGCTTTGGAAAGTATGTTTCAAGATTTCTAAATGTTTTTTCTTTCTATATATCCTATAAAAAGACAGACAACTTAATCTAGTCACTAGAGTGTTACACTGTTGCTCACTGTGATTAGTTTGTTTGGTGATTTTGGATTAATCATTGTGTTGAGTGACTGCTTAAAAAAATGTAAAGTGAGTTTGATAATGTAAGCTCTTTGCGTTTTGATGTCCAATCTCCGTGAGGGACGGGCCAACAGAGCTCTTCTCAATCTTAGTGGTGCTGTGCCTGAACCATTGGGCCAGGAGTCAGAACTGGGCCGCTGAGCCAGCCCTGCCATGTGAGGCTGCACAGCATGCAGGCCTGCTCATCTCCAGGTGCCCTCTGCCCCCCAGAGACGTTGTCAAAAGAAGTGCTGTGCAAGTCGTGTGGACGTGAAGGATGGTGGCCTCAAAATACTGGGAAATTAGGGTGTTTGAAAATCTCAAATTTGATTTTAGGCTTTTGTGTTTTGTTTGATTTCTGAGATGATGCTAATTTTATCCTTTGTCTTTCTTTTTTTAGTGGTATGTGTGCAACAGAGAGAAATTATGTGAATCACTCCAGGCTGTCTTTGTTCAGAGTTACCTTGATCAAGGGACACAGATCTTCTTAAACAACAGCATTGAAAAGTCAGGCTGGCTATTTATCCAATTATATCATTCTTTTGTGTCATCGGTTTTTAGCCTTTTTATGTCTAGAACATCTATCAATGGGTAAGTGAATTTTGGACTTTAAAAAATTTATCCTTAGGTTTAATAAAGGAAAAATAACCTGTAAAAAGTTAACTTGTTCAAAATATTGACCACTAGAACTGGATGTGGTGACCAGGGGCTCAAGACCAATCTGGACTACATAGTGAGGCTCTGTCTCAGAAATACAGACAATAAACAAGCAAGAAAACAGATAACCATAAAGACAGGTATTGATCGCCCTGGTAGCAGTTCTTCTGTTTATCAAAATCCTTGGCAGGGGCCTGGGGAGATAGCTCGGGGGTCTAGGCACCTGCCTGGCAAATGCAAGGACCCATATTGGTCCCTGGCACTGCATGCCATGCCTCTCCTGGAGCCTTGGGGACACTCTGCCTGCCACAGAAACTGGGCATGGTGGTGCATGCCTGTAATCCCAGCACTGGGGATTCTGAGACAGGAGGATTACTATGAGCCTGAGCTGTGTAGCAAGCTGTGTCTCATTTCTTTTCCCTCCTTTACATTGTGTTCAGTCTGCCTGCACCAAATAAATAAATAAATAAATAAATAAATAAATAAATAAATAACTTTAAAAAATTCTTGGCAGTAGATGTCTTATACCAGTTTTTTCCACTTACACTTTTTACATTTTCCATAACTTGAAATAGCCCCATTAGTCTGTATTTCTGTGGCAGGAATTCCTTCGTTCAGTGTTTCACAGCTTCGATACACACAGACCTGCTTGGGGATCATGAGTCTGTAGGAGTGGGGTCATCCCAGACGCATGCAGATGATGCAGTGCCGCTGGTGCAGGGCGCTGGCTGTGGCCCTCAGGGCCGCGTGGCCCCAGTCCTCCTGCTGAGGTCTCTCAGCCCTCAGCTGCTGCCTTACACCTGTTCTGAGCGAGTGTTGGAAGGGAGCCAGTTACTGTGTACGATGCTGAGTGGTGGCTTGTTCCGAGTCTTGCGTTTGCTGTGAATGTGCACTGTGTGTCTTGGTCACTTTTCTCTCACTGCTCAGACAGTGACAGAAGGACCCGATGCCCAAAATGAAGGAAAGAAAGGTGTACTTAGCACACAGTTGATGAAGGTTTCAGTCCATACGCTGGCTGGCTGCAAGGCAGAGTGGGGTGTGGCAGAGGGCGGTGGTTCATGGCTGGGGAAACAGCAGGATGACAAGAGCAAGAGAGGAAGAGCAGCAGCAGAGGGCAGGCCTCCTTCCCGCCCTCGTCCTCGTCCTGGTCAGGCTGCCTGCCCAGGGCACTTACACCCACAATCCCTGTGTGGGACTGCGTGAGGCTTTGGGGGACATTAGACACAAACCATGACACTAGCTTTACCAGGACTTTGTAAATTTATTATGGGATGTTTTGTCATTAGAGTGTGTGTCTCATGAATGAGAAAAGGATTTGGAAGTATCATTTATCCTTTCTTTGCTGAATTTTCTAAAGTCTTATCTCCAAGACCCGAGTAGTAGGGTATGATGCCTGAAAAGCCCTGCTGGCCCACTAAAGCCGTTGCTTGGGGCCACGTTTCTTTTCCCATGAGATGTAGAGCCGGTTGGTTTCCCACTCTGTCATCTGGTCCTTAAAAATGTCTTCAAGCACAGCAAGCATTTCTCAGGATTTATTTTCTTCTTTGTTTATGTGACAGTTGTTATTTCTGAATTGGGAACTGAATTTATATAGCTTGGTCTGACACTTTGTTTCTAAAGTTGGTGGTACTGAATTTCTGTGTTTATTTGGAAATCAGCTGAGTCCCTGTAGTGGAGATTCTTGTCCTTTTTGGGGCCCTGTACCTCTTTGAGGATGATAAAAGGTAGGAATCCTTCAAAGAGGATTTTTGTGGAACCAGTTTAAAATGCCCTAGAATTTCAGTTTTACCAAAAAGGCAGTGCCATTAATCCCTTTGGTTTCTCTTACCTATAACTGTTCCAGTGTGTTGTGTTTGTTTTGTTTTATTTAAGACGGACTCTCCCAGTGTTGTCCGCCTGGCCTGGAGTGCTGAGCCCGGGCGACCCTCTGTGCCCAGCCTCCAAGCCACTGAGCCTGCAGCCTGTGCCATCTGCCCGCCCCCACTTTTTCAGATCCCTCCTGCCTGTCATCTATATTCTCAACTAAAACCCTAAATTTTGGGCCCCGTGGTACTTTCACCTTGCCGTGATAGTTATCGCCACCAGGGGCTATCTCTACAGAAATAATTACATAATTACGGTAGCACCTTCTTGAATTAAGGTATTTATCAAACTTCTTTTATGCTGGAGAGGAGAAGGCCAAGTAAGGAGAGGCTTGGGAACTGTTTCAGAGAGCCGTATCTTGCCATATGCTTATGCTAAACCTTGTGTTGTACTGGGTCAATGTCTTGATGTTGTAGATAGGGCAGTTCTTTTCTTTTTTTTCTCCCAGAACTGGGGATTGAACTCAGGCCCTTGCACTTGCCAGGGAAGCGCTTATTCTACGGAGCCATCTCCCTGACCCCGATAGGGCAGTTCTTTATTGGAGGAGACCTCATGTGGTGCAGCGTGCATACTTTTCTAGCCTTGCTAAGCTACTGTGAGTGTAGATGCTTGTAGTACCTCCAGAATTGCTCCTGGTTGATGACCCTGGGCTTGGTGCATTTCCGTTCTTTTTTTAGTGTGAATAGTTTTGTAGAATCCTTGTTGTTTATGTTCTTGGCAACCAGGACAGGGCTTTCCTTCTGTCTCAGGTGCCCCTCCAAGTAGCCTGGTCATGTGACCCCGTGAACTCTGACCCCAGATGACCTCTGCTGTTAGACTTTCATAGGCCTCCCGCTTCAGGGCTCCCCATGTGCCCAGCAGATGGCCCAAAGCAGGGAAACTTGAAACATAGTGGCCTTCTCTGACTATGGTGCTGGAACGGCCTCCCTGAGGTCGTCCTGCCTGTAGCCACGTGGACATCTGCAATTACTTCAGCAAGGTCAGCCCCTTTTCTCCTTGTGCCTAATTTCCTCTGGCAGATACTGCACTTGAGGGTTGTCTTTGGTGAGATCCGGTTTTCATTGGTGAGCGCCTGCTTGTGGCTCGCGGGTAGTTGTCTGGAATCTGGAATCGTCTCCCTCCACTGCCCAGGCCTTTGGCGTTTCTGTGGGGCAGAGGACTCGTATTAACTTCATTAAGCTCTCCTATGGCCTTAGTGGGAAAAGAGGGGGTGTTTATTACAGGTACTCCTTTTCTGTTTTATTTTTTTCACGAAATTGGTGGTAAGTGCCCTTTGCATGTGTCTTCCAGGCGTTGTGTAGAACGCATCTTACGTTTGGGGGCTGGCGAGGAGGCAGCAGCGCAGCGTAGGGCCCACAGGGCCGGGGCGAGGCTGCTGCAGGAAGAGGGACCCCGGGCGCCCCTGTGCACGCGGCCCGCCGCGCGGCCGCCTCCCCAGGCGCTGCTGCTGCCGGACTTGGACGGTGCAGCCGCTCTTCCGAGGGTTCTCCGAGATCTCCTTTGGAACTTCTCTCAGGCTCGTTGTTTTCAAAAGTAGTGCTACAGTTTTCAGGTTTTTTTAAAGCAGCCTTCAGAAATTACATTCTTTAGCCAAGCAGAAAACATAAACTGACATGTATGAATGTGCTTCTTTGATGCACATTGATATTATGAGGTTTGCTCTCTACCTCTTTTTTCTAGGATCTTTTAAAAATCTTTTGTACAAAAGTTACTCCCCCTCACTGTTCAGCTCCATCATCTAAATGGACTTTTTACCTGTCTGATTTCTCTGCCCACAGTTACCGGGTAGCCTTGTGGTCGGACTCTGTTAGCCTGCCATCTTTTAAACTGATACACATATTTACTTCACCCCTTCTACCTTTCCTATTTTCATGTTTTTTCTCTGTGTTATTAGTGTATGTTTCCCATACACAGTGAATACATTCCTTATGGAGGCCTTGGTCCTTACGCACACTGCGCGTCTCAATCCTTCTGCTCACTCCGCCCCAGTTCCCAAGTCCCTTCCCATCCTTTTATTTTTATTTTTTAAATTTTATTTATTTATTTGTGTGTGTGTGTGTGTGTGTGTGTGGCCAGCTCAGCCCACCAGGGGGCGGTGCTGGCTGGCATGTGGTGCTGGGGGATTGAACTGTGGTCCCCGTGCTTTGCCAAGCTTGTTCTAAGTAGGTGCTTTAGACCACTGAGCCATCTCACCAGCCCCACCCATCCTTTTAAAGAGCTAGCTCCTTGAGTCATATTCGTCTTTTAATTACTTGTTCATTCCATCTTCCTTGTTCTTTCCCTCTCATCCTTTTCCCATACCCTTTGAAATATTTACAGTTTCAAAGATGGTATCTGGAGGTATTTTCTTATTTTATTAGCTTTTTAGTCATATAAATCATATGAAAGATATTTTAATTATGTAATAAAAATTTTATAAGTTCAAAAGGTTGTTGGTTCCGAGTCACTGCATTGTGCCTTCATTTTTGTCTTTTGTTTTTCTTTCAGGTTGCTAGGAAGAGGCTCAATGTTTGTGTTTTCGCCAGATCAATTTCAGAGACTGCTTAAAATTAATCCTGACTGGAAAACCCATAGACTTCTTGATTTAGGTGCTGGAGATGGAGAGGTCACAAAAATCATGAGTCCTCATTTTGAAGAAATCTATGCCACCGAGCTTTCGGAAACCATGATATGGCAGCTGCAGAAGAAGAAATACAGGTATAGTTTTAGATGTGCTGTGAGATGTATTTCTTGGTTTTAGATCTGTGTCTTCCTAAGATATGAATACTTAAAAGACGTGAATTAGAAACAATCTTTCATGATTAGAAGTTTTGAAAAAAACCATCCTGGACATGGTGCCACACACCTTGGTCCCAGCACATGGGCAGCTGAGGGAGAGGGTTGCAAGTTCAAGGCCAGCTTAGATTATATAACAAGACTGTCTCCAAAACTACAGCCAGCCAACTAAAAACAGCCTTCCACAAAGCCAAAACAAATGATTAAAATCTTTTTATATACATTGAATTGGAAATTGAGAGAGCTATAATCTTCCCATGGCAGTGTTTTTATGCAGTAGAATAGCTAGCATTGTAAGAAGGAAAAGAGTAGGGTAGAGTAAGAAGGGGCTTGCGTGGGCAGGCTTTGTGTGGGTGTGGGTCTGAGCCAGTGATGCCTTGGGTCCTTTTCTCTGTTGATCTGACTCAGCCTCAGCCCTTGTGGGTCTCTGTGCTGATGGCTGAGATGTATTCCTTCAATTAGAAATTCACTATTTCAAACTTGGAATGCTTTGACTTTTGCTTTAACAATGGCCCAAGTCATACTGAATTCCAAATCAGACCCCCTTTATGTTTCCACTTAAAAAATAGCAGTTTTGGAGTTGGTCTGGGGAGGAAGGTGTTAATATCGTCATTAGTTTCTTATTTTAATGAAAAGTACTTAGAGAGTTACCTATACAGATTGTCCTTATGCCTAGCCTTTGAGGTCAGAAGGGTTTGTTCAGCATGCTTGTCAGGCCTTTTCCCTTAACCTGCATATGGAGAGCAGCATTTACCTGGGGTGACATGCTAGGAGAATTGGCAGAATTCCACTCTGCCAGCAAGGTGCAGTGTAAATTAGACACACCACTTCTTTCATTTTCTCAGAGCAAAATTTTAATAATTCATTAGGATTTCTGGGCTAATATCCAGTTTGAGTGGGATAATTAACATATTTTCATTAATGAAAATGAGTTTTCAAATAGATACTGAAATAAGGATAACTTTGAGGTGCTCTAGGAATGGGTTTAACTATCCGAGTATTAAAACTGTAGTTCTCTATTATGAGCATCTTCATGTCTTTCAGGATTCCTATTATGGTCCAGTAGTGGGAGGAAAAAAAAAAATCTATCTATCTATCTATCTATCTATCTATCTATCTATCTATATCTGTGTATACACAATAGCATAAATATACAGCTACTTTCTCTTAGTAGCTGTATATTTCAAAACCAATGAGGTTTTGAACTAATAGTGTTAATTTTTTTAAAATTTTATGTATTTATTTTAAGGAAGGAATAGTTTATTTTGCTCACAGTTACTGGAGCTTTCAGTCCATAGTCAGCTGGCTCCAAGGCAGAGCAGCACACGGAAAGCAACCTTTCTTGGCTGCAGCAAAGAGTAAGTGCACAGAGAGAGTAGCAGCTGCTCAAGCCGCTAACTTCTCTTCCCTCCTTACACTGAAATGCAAATTACCTACCCCAGGGCAGGTGCAGCATCCACACCTACAACAATCAATCACAAACTCCTGAAGCTGCCCCAAGACGGCATGAGGCTTTGGGGGGACACCTAGACACAAACCATAACAAATAGCATGTAATTACAAATGCATTAATTCATGATTCTTTACTAGATTATAGTTTCCTCAGAGAAGTGATACAGGAGAAAAGCTGATCTCGGGTGGGTGACCTCCAGATGATACAGGGAACCTCCAAGTGATAGAGGGGAAAAAGGATCTCCCGACCTGACCTGCATGAGTTTGTGTTCTCTAAAACCAAAGAATGAATTTTAGGAAATGAAGGTTATGAGCAGAATATATATGAATATG